GTTTATTTCTAAAATACCTAATTTAATAGCGGTTTCACGGCCTAATAACGATTGTCCTTCGTTAATGACGACAAATTCTACCTCATCAAACTCCCGGTTACTAAATTTAATATTTGTCGTAAATTCTAACAAAATACGAATTGGCTGTTTACTAGCATATGGGTAAAGTTTCTATGTCGAGTTCTCATTTACAGAATGAAAGTTTATATTATTTTCCTTCAAAACTTTCCATTGACAATAATCAATGATATTTGGACCTGACCCAGAATCAACAATAAACGAAACGACTGTTCCGCCTACGTCTATATTTACTCGGTCGTCCGGCACTTTAGAAACTCTATAAACAGGATCACTAGCTATCACTGTCAAACTCTCTTTCTTCACTTTTTTCTTTAATTTGTCGTACTTGTGATCTATTACTTCTGTTTTTATTTCTTCTGTTTTCAGGGTTTTCATTTCTGTAATTTTCTCTATTTCTCCTGTCATATGACTGGCATGCGTATTTTCGTCTTACACATTCTTTCATAATGTCCAAAAGTCTTACACATTCTTTCATAATGTCCAAAATTCTTGCATTTACGACATTTTTCTCTTAAAGCAGGGCAATTCGGATCAGAATGCCTATGTCCCTCATATCCGCAATTAAAACATTTTCGATGCATTTCTCTGTCTGGATAATGCGGTCTACTGTTACTATTATTACTGTTACTCAAGTTACTGTTATGTCTGGAACGTCGATCCTTCATTGTTAATTTTTTTACATCATACGAGAGGCCTTCTATCGAGCTAGCCTGTCTCACAGATTCTTCCATTGCACGTGCTATCTCAATTGTCCGTTGGAGGTTCAGATTTGCTCCCCTTTCTAAGAGTTTTCTTCGAAGTTCATTCGATGAACATTTTGTAATGATCTGGTCTCGAATTTCGTCATCAATATTTGCAAATTCACATCCATCAACACTTTGTCGAAGTCTGGTAATAAATTGTTCCACTGTTTCATTTTCGTCTTGTTTTAATTTTCTGAACACACATCTTTCAAAGGGCACATTTCCTCGCGGGTTGAAACACGTGTCGAGTGCGTCTTTTGCTTTCGTGTATACGTCTTCTTCTCCCTCTCCTGCAACATCGCTGACATCTAGGGTGTAAAACACACCTTGCACATCCATACCAGCGGTGTGTAGGAGTAAGGCCCTTTTCTGTGCTGGATCCTTGGTTCCTCGGCTGGTTACGTAAAGGTCAAATGCTCGGATCCATCTTCGCCATCGGGCGGCAATTCCGGTGCGGTCTTTGCAGTCAAAATGATACAATTGACCAACGTCGTTATTCGCCAACATTATTGTATTTTAAAAGCTTTCGTTTTCAAGGAAATGCTCTAAATACCTTCCTGTATCCTCGTCGCCAAACTGTAGACTTTGTGGACCAAGGGACGGTATCCAATCGACACAAACTAGGTCATTTCGGGACTAACATAGGGTTTAATTTTATTTACATAATTCGCTTGCGCACAGGGGTCTTTAGCAGTGGGAGGAAACCGGAGGACCCGGAGAAAACCCACGAGGTTAGACAGGCGCCCCTACTCCTTGCCACGTACAACCGGGGATTCGAAACCACGCCAGTCGACTCAATGACAGACTGTATGATACAGCGCGCGCACGCTACCATTCAGCCATCCAACCCCCCTTTGATATTTGCACATTTCAGACAATAACTTTCTTGATTATTGCCCCTGATTTTACAAAAATCGCGTTTGTTTTTAGCTTGTTCTCTATCCATCTCTTGCAAAATGTGGGCGTATCCTGCCTGGCAGCCACTGGTTAACTATTATGGTGAGAACTCCCACTTCTTTATCTATTCTCCCATAGTGTATCTTGAACTAAACACTGATGAAATTTCTTCTAGACCGGATTTGTAGGAACGAAAATATTTTTGCAACGAGAATTTGTGCCTATGTAATGCGGCCGTACGTGCAAGCCATTGTGAGTGTGTGAGGAGAGAGATAGATAGGGATGGGGTTAACGTCCACTCAACACAAACCAGGTCATTTCGGGACTAACACATGGTTCAATTTTAATTTCGCTTACGCGTAGGGATCTTTAAATCTTTTTATTTAATTTAATTGGTTCATTAATCGGAATTGGACATTTATTCTTACCTGTAAATGACCAATCAAAATGAATTACAAAAAAAAAATTTATTGCAGTATTTTGCGATATTAAACCCTATGGGGGGCCCCCTATGGTACTGCAAAAGTTTACTGTATTATTAAGCAGTGTGGTAATTCCTTCCTGGATTAGAAATCCAAAAGTGATATTATTGTGAAAAAAGTTTGTTCAGAAAGTAAGAGTATCAGGTTTTGTGATTTTTGTGTTTTTTAATACAATGTATTTATAACGCAAATTTTTCGTTTCGGTTAAAACAAAATATACGCCCATATTAATTGGCCGAAGGACGTGTGACTAATAGTAAAATGGCGGCGGACAAACTGACCAAACAGTATATTTTGAGGTAAGCTAATTCTATTTTATACATAACTGCATGTGCATAATTGTGTTTCTGTGTTATTAAATATTCAAAAAATCACATAGGATATGGCCTCGACACCAGTCCTGAATTGCAATGTTTGTTTTGTGTTCTGGGCGCCATTTTGAAAAACAGACATGACCTATATTCATTTGTAAATGCCCAGTTGTCTTAGACAAATAATAATTCAAACTTCAAATCAGTTATATTCATGATATGTTGTATTTATTCAAATAATACCACCGAGAATTGTATTTATTCAATTGCATAATTATAAAAACTTGGCTTTTATTATTTTATTTCTTTAGGCCAAGAACATGAAAAATTGGTAATTGCCTTGTATCACTGCAAACTATAAGGCACAGGTAGTCTTGAGCAGAAATGATAATAAAAGGTAAGACTTTTTAAATACATATATTAAACTTAATAGGTTTAATATGGTTCTCAGATATGTTACTATGTACAGACTGTACAAAACACATTTATACACTTACTATTAGGTTATTTTGCTCACAGAAAATCGGGTGTGTAATCATCAGAAACAGATGTAAACTTCAAATGATCATAGGTATTTGGATAATTGCTTGGTGTGGTTCTAGACCCATACAATGCCATCAAACTGGCCATTTGATTCAATGTGAAACTTGGTGATGCATGTAATTTGAGTTTAAAAGAGGAGTAAGCAATAATGCTGCCTGACTAAAATACTTTTCCCACTTGCATTCGCATGTAGCCATACATATGAGTCTTAAAATAATATCTATTGTTAAATTATGCTCTTTGCACCGCCCCCCCCCCCCCATGACTCTAAATAACTCTGTACCCATTACTGGTATGTCAACTAAATAACTCTGTACCCATGACTGGTATGTCAAGTAAAAACCAAATCGAAACCCAATTTGTCTATAAGTGTATTTATAATCATCACTTTATATTTTTCAGAGACTTGAACATCCTTGGAGAAGTACATGTATTTAAAAAATATTAATACCAAAGAAAGAAGACAACTCTAAGTTCTGAATATAAACCATCAAATTCTTTTATAGATCTTATTGTGGAAAGTTATTTGTCACCATTACCGTTTTAATCTCTTTTTTTGTTTTTTTAATGTCAAATACCAAACCATCTCTAAATATTGTTTCATTGTGTAGATCCATCTCTAAATATTGTTTCATTGTGTAGACTGCAGTGTAATCCTAAACACTAAGAATTTGGCCTGAAAAGTTGAAATATTAAAGAGGGATTATCAATAATTAATAGTAACAGTCGATAATTATAAAAATATATTATTGTGGGATGAAATCAACCTTTATTTTTAAACATTGCGAATGTTAATGCCTCTTTTATATGAGATGGTTTTATTCAGCAATTTTTCTTTTACAAATTTTTAAAATTCTCCATTTATTTTATCTGTATATAATTATTTGTCCTGTACCTTATCTATTAGTTTCCTTTTACGTACTGTAGAAAATTTTGAATTCCTAATCTGCTAAAGGGAATATTTCTTCTTAAAAGTATTTCAATTTAGAGCATATAAGTGCTTGGTTTAGTTGTTATTAAATTTAGATATATTTAAAATGTATGTTTTGGGAGCATGGGGTAGGGATATTGTGAACATATCAATAATATTCTAAGTTCTGTAAAACAAATTTAAATAGCTTTTTGTTTTATTTTGTGATTGGGGGTGGGGAATTTTGTTATTATTGAACACAATTTTATTAGTATTGGAATTAACTTTGTTTATTAATATTCCAAATGCCTCAGTACTTGGGGTTTTTTTCAATTTAAATAGCTATTTTTTATTTAACAATTGAGGGTATTTTTTCATTGTATAACACAATGTTATTAGTATTGGAATTAACATCGTATATTAACCTTCGAGGTGTCTGTTTAGTATTAATTTGGCCTTAATTTAATTAAATAATAATTAAACAAACAAAATTATTGTTATATCATTTATAAAACATTACAGTTTAAACAGAATAAATGGAAGGGGTTGCATGGGAAAGGTTGCTATAGTGGGTATAAATTGATAAAATACAACACAAGTTATTGTTAGTGGTTATACACAAGTTTCAGAAATTTCAACACAAGTAATGTGTAGATTTTCACACAAGTTTATGTTGTTTGATAAATTTTAACACAAGTTTGTGTTGTTTCAACACAAGTTTTTTTGTCAGTGTACTTTTGGCTAGCATAATTGACCCATACATTCAAACTTTAAATATATCGGACAAATATTTACAAATCGAAAAGGAAGAAAGTAAAACAAATGGCCACCAAATAATTGGTATCCAAATGACAGTTTCGAATTGTTTTTATTCGAAATAAATTATACCAAAACTTTATTTTAGCTTACCTGAAAGATTAAACTGTTTCAGAATAGACCAGAATTTCCAGTCCTTTCGTAATATTTGTAATTCATTTGTAATGCATCCTTTAACACTGTTTATATAACGTGCTTTTTATGTTATATATTACAGGTGTAACAGGTAATATTATATTAGAACCCAACCCATGGATACAAGGTTATTCCGCAAATTTAACATGTGAAACTTCTCAGTTTGCTACAATTACCAAAGATAGTATAGAGATAACTACTTGTTTTGTATCTACAGACTGTAGTATTTCTCCTGATCCTTCTACAGACTACAACTTATACTATAATGTTATTGCAACTAGTAACAATGTCACTATTAATGTAGCTAATGTTTCTAAGGTCAGGGATGGTGGAGACTGGGAATGTCAAACATCGGCGGGCAAGTTCACTATAACCACAAATGTGACAGGTAAGTACATTCATTATCTATTACATTTATATTACATCCAGTGGAAAGGTGACAGTATCTGAATATTGCTTTATGTAGACATAACGAAAATATATTTTATTCGGTTTCGATGTTATATTTATCAAAACGTACACCGATCTTATTCAACTAATTTTATTTAAAATACTCTATATGGGTACCATAGAGACATCTGGCACAGTTGTTGTCAAAATATGTGATGGGCATTTTATAGTAAGGCTTCGAGTAACGGAATCAGTGTTTACTTCTTCTTTAGATTTGGTACAAACAGTTCACATTGGGCTAATTGAGTGTAAAATATGTCCTGCCCTGGGTGATTGGCCGAAGACATATGCGTTGCAAATGATACTCCACACAACAGCATTTGACTCACAGACATTATATAAAAGATGCATTATATAACAGCTAGATCTGCCTATTGCAGATCTTTCGTTTGGCCTTAGACTTAGACATTTATTTGCATGTCAAGCCTATAATTAACTCTCTGGGCTATTGGATGGCTGTGATTTTCAACTGATTTTAACACGATCGCACATTATTAATTTAATTAAACAATGAATAATCGAGTTGTGTTTATTATCGTAAGGATAGCAATGACAATCGAGGCTGCTCTATTCGTCAAACGGCCCAAAATTATCTCAGAATTAAGTAATTGGACTGAAATTTTCAATATATTCACTTTTCATTATCTATCGTTTAACTATTACAGCTCTTTATCGTAATGCATCTTGAAGATATGTCACCTGATTTGTTGATAATTGTATAAGAAGGTTCTGTGTCTTTGTTGCCGCTTCACCGGAGGGGAGGTGTAAATCAAAAATTTTATATTTAATTATATTAATCCGCTTGATCTTATACGGAATATCATACGGCATATTTGTAAAACATTAATTTCTAGCATTGTATATCTCCAGTAAATAAGTGTATAGGATGCCCCCGGATAACTTTCTTACTTTGTGAGTTTTGAAAGGGTGTGAGTTGTAGAAGGGAGGGTGTGATGGACAATGCCTTAAAAGAGCACGAAATTAGATAATGTTGATATAAATGATGATTTTATATATTTGTAAAACACCGATTTCTAGCATTGTGCTGTTATGGAAAACATGTTTTCCATTTGTCTGCAATTACAATTAAATATGCAAAGGAGAAAATTGTAGAAACTTTTAACCTAAAGTTTACTGCCTCCATAAATTGTATGGAAATACTACATATTAAACTTTGTATAACTTTAATCGATAACAAATGATACATTCCTCAAGGTGATTATGTTAACTGGCACTGGTAATGATATAAAAATATTGCAGGTTTTATAAGCCATTCATTATACCGTCGCTTCAGTTTATCTCTTAGCAGTTATGCAACCAGTACAAAAATCCGAACATAACATATTCAAGGAAACTTCAAATTTGTGCAATATTAAACGATAATCAAATAGTAAAAACAAATATGATAATACCAATATTGTCTGTTGTTTAGTTCTGTTTTACATTGTGTGCATGTTTGTTGAAGCTCATCACTCGAACAGACATTTCTACACACTAGTCTGATATTTCGAAAATCATACCTGTTCATACATTGTCAGTAATGATTTATATTTTATCCTTGTCCTGTCATCCTAATTACCCCATTTCAACAAAGGAGGAATGCTCACTAGTCCTGGGGTTCATTAGTCCGCCGATATCTATTATTAGGGTCATACTTGGGTAAGGGTTACGGTTCATTAGTCCACCGATATATTTGGTTAGGGTTGGGTTAGGTTTAAGAATTTGGGGAGAGGTTAAGTCTCCACATAAGCACTGTCCTAGGATGACGAAAAGTTAGTTCGTGATATTTCCTAGTTTTATTAAAAATACATACAATATATAAGATTAATTTACAAAAGTGATTTCACTGTTTTTGGTGTTGGTGGCGCTGATGGTCTTCCTTGGATGGTACTTCTGGTATTTTTGTTTCTGAAGAAGAAAAAAGAATAAATTTGAGGCTCTCGGGGGAGAGCCACATTAGTGTGTTTCCTACTACGAATTGGATTTTCTAAAAAAAAAACGTGTTTGTTCCACATCACCGGGTTAAGGCTAGGGATTCTTATATCTAGTTGATTTTATTTACTAACGGTTAGGGATAGGATTTGATATATGGTTTGTTTTGGGTTAGGGTGGAGACTGGTGCACTGTGCACTAGGATATCGTTCAGATTTTTATTTTTAGAATATGCAATTATAAGTTTCTGTGTGAATATTTTCGGGTGATTTTCTTGGAGATCAGTATAGTGTTTTCTGATGATTTTGGATGCACTTGCTGCTGTTGCGCTAAATGGAACTACAAAAGGGGCTATTGCGCTAGCCGTATGAATATTTAAACCTAGGGGAGCTGTTGTTTTCAATTTGTCAATCCAGAATTTTTCTCTTGTTAGCCTACACGTTTTAATTTCTTCTGTAGTTTCAAAGTCGCTCTTGGTCTTTTCTATTGGCGTGACAATGAAATCAGCAATGTCATGATTTGTTTGGTTGAAATGAATTGAGACCGGTTTCTCTTTTTTGGTGACTATGTCTGATCGGTGACCGTTAATTCTTTCCCTAAGTGCATTTTGAGTCTCCCCTACGTATTGCTTGTCACATTGTCTGCATGAAATTAGATAAATTTTATTTGAACTACTGCATGAAAGTTGGTCTAATATTGGGAATTGTGTGCCAGATGTTTTGTTATGGAAATGGTCGGATATGTTTAAGATTTTGCATGTTTGACATCTTGGATGGCCACAAGTTTTGGTTGTAACTGCTGATAGCATATTATTTGTTTCTTTGGCTCCACGTTCAGCTAGATTGTTGTTTTTAATACGACGTAGATAGCGTTTGGAGTATCCCCGTTCTCTTAGTTTGCTAAATACCAGCGTACATGCTGACTCAAAGTCGGTCTTCTGAGTACATACCCTATGAAAACGGAGAATCTGTGATTTTATGAAGCCAGAGAAGGTATGTTTGGGGTGGAAGGAGCTCTTGAACAATAATTGATGTGTATCGGTTTCTTTGAAAAATACTTTAGTTTCATTTATTGTGGTTCGTAAAAGTAAAAACGAACCTAAACATAGCACCATTCAAAGAAAGACCTCATTCCTTATTTATAGTTATTTTTACTAACAAGTACAATAATCTTTGTCTACATGTGGTATCAAATTAATCGACATGACCCCTTGAATGTTTTAGGCCATCGAATATGGGTCCCTGACAAATTTGGGCCGGGAAGAATTTGGGTCCCGGGTAAAGACGGGTATCCTGGTAGTATTTGTCTATAAAATTTTTCACAGTGAAACAGTATAATCCAGTTCTGTCTTCAGATGGAATAGAATAACTGTTGTATGTATCTTCAATACAATTAGTACGTCTTTCGGATTAACAATCAGTGTTTACAAAATGATCAGTACATTGTCCTCATCAATTTTTCTATTTGTCAATTATGCATTAACTTGTTAAATGAAATTAAATAGGGTTTTACGTCTTACTTTTAAACTTTCTAGATTAAGATGGCCCATATCAAGAGTATCAAAGAATTGCTTGAATAGTTGTATATCGATATTCAACTTTCCGTTCCGCAAACTCACTCCACATATCGTTTTCAAAAACCTTGAAGAAATGATAAAGGATACAATTTTAACAGCTCTACACGACCCTCCTTTCCCGATTTATCCCCCTTATCGAAACACTTTGTTAACAAGGGTTTTTTTGGTTGAATTGTTTTTAAATTCTGTATGAAGTATTGGGATTATGAGAGGTCGAATTTCAGCCTTGGGGGCAGTAGCGGATTATCAGTGAGGCTGATGAGGCTGCAGCCTCAGTCCCAAAGATTTTGTAAACACAATTTTTTTAGGACTTGTCTGATACGATTAAAAACGCATAAACAATGAATGTTAGGGGGGTGTGGTTTAGGCCCAACGGGAATCAGCACAGGCCCTCACCCGAAATTAATTAGGCCCACGCCATTTTAAATAGGCCCTATTGTTTGGAGATCTGATCTTATTTTTTAAACGTAGGCCTACAATGTACGTTAAACCCTTGTAAGTTTTCGGTTATGTCTTGCTTAATATATTGTATCCACGTGACGTCATTTATGGGCATATAAAGTTACATTACCAATATCAAACGACTTTGGCTTAAGAAAAAATATCTAGCAAAAGATCTTGCGCTAGTTTCGATGTAAACACCCCATCATGAGGAAATATTATCCTTGAAAATAGGTGTATGTACAGTTGGTTTCCGGTGACGTTTCTGCTGTCAAAGCATTTTGTACGACAAATTTCAATAGTTATAACTAATATTTTAATAATATTATAACCTCAGTAACGAACCCCGTTTTTAATGTTAGCAACTACCTTGGCTCTAACTTTAAAAACTAAATAGGCCCTCCAGCAACTGCCGCCTCAGGCCTTGGTGGAGCTTAATCCGCCTCTGCTTGGGGGGTTACCCGCTTTTCCAAATTATGCATGCAGAATAACTATTCAAAAATGTACCAAATGTTAATATTGAATGATTGCGACAATATTTTAAACAAGTGGTTGTCATGTAAGATACGAACACAATTTGCAAAAGATAAGTAACTTTAACCTCTATCGCGTTCGCAAAGTTTTTAATGTGAAAATTGGTTTTATATGATGAAATTATTGTCTAAGTTGAACTGAAATTTATTTACAATTTATTCTAAATTCTCCGGTCATTTTATTGACATTATTCCAGGGAATTGTTCAATAATTACATCTTTAAATTTACATACATTAAAAAGTAACGTTTAGGTAGAACATTTATATGTATTGCATTTGCAGTAATGTTGGTAATAATACTGATGTTTTCATGACACACTATTTGCAGTTAAATAAATAATTGAATTCATAAGAGGCATTTATAATATAATATAATTAACCGTATAAAACTAATATTATTCCGAATGGTTTATAACATGCATTTCGAATTGATAAATTTGTAGGTGTTTTTTAGG